AGAACAAGAAACAGACCTTCTCGAGATTAAACGAGAGGAGCGACTCGCTCGAAAAGGCCGGCTATCCGCACTGCTGCCCGCGGACCCTCACCCGATCCCGCGGGGTTTTTCCAGGAGGGAGCGGGTGGCACTCAGACGGCTGCAAACCATGACCCTAATGACACCGGTTTTGCGAGCCCGCTCCTACAAGCCCACCAACCCCTCGGATCCCGGCCCGGACCCAAACTGCCAGCACTGCGGGGTCCCAGCGACGTGTTCAACCTTAATATGGGACTGCCTCGGGGCCTCGCGAGAACGTGCGCAAGTGTTTGCGACATTGCCACCCGAACTCCGGCCAACTACGTACAGTGAATGGACAAGACCAAACACCGCAGTGTTCAGTGACGCATAAAAACTGTATTCATCCCTCATCGCATTCCTCCGGTCCTCCGGGATTGAGAGGCTCATTTAACCGTCGTCCCCCCACCCCACTCTCGCCTTTCCCTCACCCTCGTTTAATCATCGTCACCCCACCTCACTCTCCCTTTTTCCCACCCTCCACACCAAGTGAGGCCCCCAAGCCAGGTGTGTGGATTAAAATAAAATACGTTTGAAAGAAAAGGAGGTCGATTTTGGACTGATTTGGACATCTGTAAGACGTGTTCGATCCGAGTATGCCAACTTCCCCTACTTTGTACAGATGTACATAGTTTGTAAAATAAATTGGTTCGCCAAAGAACTCGCAAAGTCTCCATCGCCTCCTGAGAACTTCAACGACCATCGGCCTGCCAAACTTGGCAGGCCCAAAGTACCAACAACGAACGAACCAACATTTACTGGCGCAGTCGACATGGATGGTCTTGAAAACTGCGGAGGCGACTGAAGATCACGAAGGAGACTCAAGTGCAGGCGAGAAAACGGAGCCCACGGCAAACCATCATGTGACCCCGGGAACCCGCGCCAGCACAGCCGGCGGTTAGGACCAGCGGAGTCCTGAACCTGTCCAGAGGGAAGCTACGTCCCGGGAACGAGAGTCAAGCGTTTCCTTTGCGAACCGAAGCAGTGTGCGTCCAAGTGAGTGAGATCCTGGGAGCCGAGCCAGAGGAGCCGGTGGCAAGGGCCAGCAGAGTCCTGTGCTTGTCCCAGGGCAAGTCGTTCGTCGGGTGAACCTCTGATCCTGAGGGGCTCAGTTTGTTCACGACGGAGTCATCGAGCCGGCGGCACGGACGACCACCAAGCAAGCTACATTGGAACGGACCCCACGCGGACCTGCAAAGTAGTAAGCTCAGTCTTGTTTCCCTTTCTGGAAGGGGAGTGGTCGTGTCACAGTAGGCCGCGGGGCAGGGCGCATGATTACGAGGTTCGGGCATTCCAATCCGGACAAACGCACCGGAGGGACGATGGACGGCGAAGGGACGTCGGAGGAAGGCGAGAGCACCACGACATTGGTGAGCGAGCGCCAAAAGGAATTCAACTTTGAGGAGGCGAGACAGCGAATAAAAATTCTCGAGCTTGAGATGGAGCTCGAGCGCGTTCGATCGGCCAACCGCCGAGCCGAGGGGGGCAGACCGGCGGAGACAGGCGAACGTGGGGAGCAGGATGACCTGCGACATTTCTCCAAAGCATTGTCGGGCGTCATTCAGAAATTCCCATCCGAGGCCGAGGTGCCCGTGTGGTTCGAGGCGGTAGAGACCATCTTCGTGACCTATCGCGTACCGAGGGCCATATGGGGCCAGTTGATATTCCCCGACGTGGTTGAAAAAGTTCGGTATTTGGCCACGCGACTCACCGCGGCGGAGCTCAACGACTACGTTCGAGTTAAGGAGACCGTACTCGAAGAGTTGCAGCTCGCGCCCGGTGAGTACCAAAAACGATTCCTAAACGCCAATAAAAGGAGGGAAGAAGCATGGATGCCATTCGCCACGCGGCTGCGCAGCTACCTCCACTTTTATTTGGAAGCGAGGGGAATTCAGACTAAGGACGACTTAATTGACCTTCTCGTAGCTGACCAGTTGAAGGCAAGGATGTCGCCGGAGGCGCTTAGTTACGTCACCCTGAAAGAGGACCCTAGCTGGCACAGGGCGCCGGAGCTGAGCCGGCTGATGAGGCTCTACGAGCAGGCCGAGGGTAGAGGCGCTGCGTCAAGGCTTGTTGACGCAGAGAGCTCGGGGGCCTTAGACAAAACAAAAGGCGGGGGAGCCGCGAATACGACGAAATTCACGAGAAATCCGGCCGCCAGACTGGCTACGGGCCAGCGGAAAGAATGCTACGGGTGCGGCGCCTTGGACAACCTAAGAGCTGACTGTCCACACGCTACGAGTCGCCGGGAAAACAGGAGCCTCAAAGAACCATCTAAAACCGAAAAGCTCACCGCTCGGGTCACCACGGAGCTGCGCTCGCCGCCACCCAGTGGGCTCATAACGACCGGAATATCTTGTGGTGAGCGCGAGATCGGCGCCGTTCTCGGCACTGGAGCGGACATAACCGTAGTGAGGGAGGCCATTGTACCCGATGAGCTCAGGACGCCTTGCGGCAAGATTTCCCTTGAATCCGCTTTCGGCGAATCTGTGGAGGCGAGCCTGGTGTTGCTGCCTTTGGCTTTCCTCGACAGGGGTTCTTCTTTTGCTGAAGTTCGCAAGACGGCGCCGATTCTCTGCGCACTGACCGACCGACTCACGTCTCGCACATATTGCCTACTTTCCGGGGAGGCATGGGAGACGCTCCACGGAGCAACAATCGCGGAGGCGCCGGTCGGAGCGGTGGCAAGTGTAGCGGCGGGGGAGGCGGCGCCGTCGGCGGTTAGCAGCCCTGCACGGGAGCCCGAGGGAAGCGTAGAAACAAAGGGGAACAGTACCGAAACAGAGATTAAGTACTGCGCCAAGACGAGTTCTTGGCCACAGACGGATGACACTGAAACAGACGACGGGTATGCAGAGCGGTCGAAGTTCCGCGAACAACAACAACCTTGCCCGAGGCGTGGGAAAACGGCCGCGAGGGCCGTCTTTAAGGGTTCGGAGCGGCGTTTCAGGAAATCGATGACTCTGGGGACTTAAAATGCACCCCACGAAAAGTGAGGGAGTGTCAAGAGGCGCAACTTCCTGATAATCAAACAGCTCACATCGGAAGAGACGCGCACATCGTTCGCGCGGTGTTCGACAGACAACGCCGGCTCTTCTCGCCAAATACGGGTATAGCAAAGGTGGGAGAATGCCGCGTACACTCTAAAAAAAAAAAGGAGTAGTGCTTCCTCCCTAAAAGGACGAAACGGGATATATAATATATTGCTCTACAAACGGAGGAAAGTTTGCTCCCAGAGAAAAGGAGGAAATTCGCTCCCCTCAGGTAAGAGGAAATTTGCCACTTCTTTTTGCAAATGGAGGAAAACTTTGTCCCCCAGAAGGGGACGAAATTTGCTACCCGTTTTTGCAGAGGGAGGAAAGTTTGTCCCCCGCAAAGGTAGAAAATTTGCCACCCATTTTTGCAAAGGGAGGAAATTTTGTCCCCCGCAAAGGTAGGAAATTCGCCACCCATTTTTGCAGAGGGAGGAAATTTTGTCCCCCGCAAAGGTAGGAAATTTGCCACCCATTTTTGGAGAGGGAGGAAATTTTGTCCCCCGCAAAGGTAGGAACTTTGCTACCCATTTTTTCAGAGGGAAGAAATTTTGTCCCCCGCAAAGGTGGGAAATTTGTCACCCATTTTGACAAATGGAGAATACTTTGTCTCCCAGAAGGGGAGGAAATTTGCTACCCATTTGCGCAAAGGGAGGAATTTTTGTCCCGCACAAGGGTAGGAAATTTGCCACCCATTTTGAACAGTGGAGAGCTACCGCCGTACCCACGGCGGTAGCTCTTGCAAGAACTGATTTTTCTACACTGGTGCTTTTGTACCACGGTGTGATTGCACTTTGTTTCGCTAGTTTCTTTATTGTTTTTCTCTAGCGGATTTTCTGCACTACGGCCGTGTAACCGTGTTGCTCCATCGCCCCTGTGTCTTACATACGTCGTGCCTTCGGTGTTCGTCCCTGTGCAGAAACATAGAGTGTGGCTCATAGAGTGCTCAGCTTATGAAAAATGCAGCGCATTTTGCATTATCCCAGGCGATTTAAAAACCGCATGTAAGCAGTTTGGCGAGCGGCGAGACAAGCGACGGGGACCCGCTTTGCTGCCGCTCGGTCACTCGCACGACAAGGCAAACCGCATGAAAGTGACGGGAGCACACGACCAAGGCGATGAGCCCTAAGTTGTCTAGAAATCCCGAAACCGAGCTACGCGACGAGCGACAGTGAAGGGTGAACCGCATGTAAGCGATTTAGCAAGCGACAGCGACTGGAGTGGGCGACGAGCGACAGAGATTTCTCACTGTCAGTCGTCGCGTCGCTCGGTTTTTGGATTTCTAGAAAACGTCGCTAATCGCCTTGGTCGCTTGCTCCCGTCGTTTTCATGCGGCTTGCCTCGTCTCGCGAGTGACCGAGCGACAGCGAAGCGGGTCGTCGTCGCTTGTCTCGTTGCTGTCGCCGTCGCTCGCTAAATTGCTTGCATGCGGTTCAGCCTTTACACACGGTACTCGGCGGCAACAAGGAAACTAAAACGGCCCGCGCCTCGAGATAAAATTTTTTTTTCTCTTTTGTTCAACGAAGCTTGTTCAATTATATAAAATTAGCACACACTACCAACGGTCGACCGCGTACCCAAGCCAGTCAAACCGCGACCTCGAAAATGGCGGATTGACGGTGGCGCTCCTTGGCAAAGTCAAACCTCCAGGCTCAGTGAATACCCCCTATAGACATTAATATTCACATATTAGGTGTAATATTTTCTCACTCTTTTACATATATGTTATTTTCTATAAAAACAATGTTGAGACCCATTTTTGAATTTTAGTGAACTATATAAAAAAATATGGTGCAATGTGTGTTAACTTTGTTAAGCCTAAACATATTAAAAAATAGACTACCGTACATAAATATCATAATTAAAGCACTTGACAGGCAATATGCTGGAAGTACTTTACTGCCATCATAATTAGTTTTTTTCTTGCATATTGACATTGTTGCAGCAATGTTGCAATGCCCAATAGTAAAGATTTTCCTAAAAGTTTAAAAATTGCCCACTGCAAAACAAATGAATCTTCGGGCAAAATACAGAGTGTTTTGTTTTAGCTGCACCAAATTTTCAAATAAAAGGGAACTTATGTTAGGGCTCTTTTAGCTCCCAGGGTTATTGGATATTGGTTAATTAGGTGGCTAATGAACTAAAATGCTTTCACTAACATTTTAATTGAAGCTTTTCCGCGGATAATGCAACTAGAGGTTTGATGCTAAACCTCATTATAGTGTAGCCGTGATGTAAAAGGTTTATTGAAACATTTGTCCTCGCCGCCAAGGAGCATCTGTGACTGATCCCTCCGCTCTGCGCTTGCCTCGCATTGCTCATGTTGCCCACAGCACACACGTGGGTAACAGAGCCGCGGCACAGAGCGGGGGGGTCGATGTCACAGATGCTTCTGTGGAAAGTCAGGTTCGACTTTGCACTCTGTACAAAAATTTTGTTTCTCTCACTGTAGCACCCAAGGCAAATTTTTCAATAAAAAATTCACATTGCGGTTAGAGCTTTAATTTAAAATTAGTTGAAGCCTTTTAAGTAATTAGTCAACCAACTCATGACTTATGAGTTGGGTTAAGTTGGAGATTTAAGTGTCCCCAACTTAACTCAGAGACTAAAAGAACCCCTATGTAAGTTCCTTTTTAAAGGTGGAAATTCAGTGCAGCTAAAAAAACACAAAAAACACCCTGTATATAATGCTCACAGGCCAAGTGACCACCACTCTGTATTCCTCCGTAAGGATGAGAAAAGGTTGAGAAAATTTCTTGTGTGGTTTGGTGTGGAATGACACACCTGCTAAACAAGTAAGATTAGGACGTTCTAAAAATGAGGAAGGATTGTGCCATTCCTGTTGTGTATTTATTAGGTGTGTGTGAATGTTTCAAATTCAAATCAAATAGTGATTTACACAATAATTTAATCTGACTTTTGCATTCCTAACATTCAAGTTTTCATATAATTTGACACAGAATATCAGTAATGCTGGACAGCATCTGGGCTTATACAAAAATGCTTTCCATAGTGCCACCTAGTCCTCGCAGGTCTCTGCTGGAACTAAATCAAACCTGCATTAAAATCTATTTCTACAGAAGTCTGTTTTTTTTTTCTTATTGTCCTGGAATGAAAACGGTGATGCTCACACTTCTTTAACGCTTGACAGAAACCCAAAATCCCCATACATCACCATTTTTCATTTGTTTCTTGCATCACCTGCCACGGGCTATGAGCACTAAAATCCTATTTCCGGTTTGTATGTTCATGATGTGGAATTTAATGCCTAAATTATGTATAACAACAGTAATTGAGCCCGGCTTGTCCGTTAGCCTACCCTCAGCGTCCAGTGATATGCTGCTATTAGGTGGCGCAAGACGTCGCCCAAATCAAACGGTTCAGTCGTAACCGTCCATCCACCCACTTATCGCTGCCCCATCGAGGAAACAGTTGGACAAGTTTGCCCGTCAACACAAAGGAAACATCTTTCCGACGACCCTGTCTCATTGAAGCAACAGAAACTGTCGGGAAACATGTTCTTGTCTCCAGGAAACAATGTTTGGCGACTTGTTCTCAGACACTTGGACGACACCCTGTCAAAACGCACTGAGGGTGCGGCGAACATGGAAAATGCTCCGCCATCTTGTTTGTTTACCTTCATTTGTGTGTGGTGCAGCGTTGCTAAACATGTGCCCCTACAAAGTGCCACTGTGTTCAAAGGGCCTAGAATCATCTAGGGATGACATCCATCACTAATGTATTGTAAAACACGAACAGGGAAGTACTCTTCGCTCCACATTTTATCAAAATGCTCTTCAATCGCTGACGAGGTAGCAATACACTGTTCATCGTTCAGCCGAGACTGCAGCCAATGCCACAAGCACAAGAGTTTGAGGTCGCTGGTATGAAACATTCTTCTGCAGAAATAGCACTTGCACTAGAAATGCACGTCTCAAAGCCAGGAGCGCAGGCTAGCCCTCGCTTGTAGCTTTGGCTGCAATGTGACCTTAAGGGTGAATGGAGTATAGCCCTAACTGAGGAAGACAAGATCGCTGCTGCTATTTTCATGACTCACGCCAGTGTATGAAGCTATTCTGCACTTGATGGAATTCCCATCTCTAGTGTAAGAGATGCTATCCCTAACTGTACCTCGAAGTGTTTTGTGCAGCTTGGTGCTCAGCTGTAATCATTTAAAAAGTACATTTGTTGGCTCAGCTGCCGTCACGACTACACCGATCGGTAACATAAATAATCTTCAACACTGTCTACCTATTTTCTTTGTGTGCTTTTTGATTGCTTCATTTGCTAAAACCTTCCAAGCTTTTAATACGATTGTATGTGCCTTTACTGGAGGTTTTAATGCGAAAGCATTAACTATCCCATAAAGCGGAAAGGCGGCGTCTGTAACCACAAAAGTACAAAAGAAACGCCCATTCGCCCACTGGCTGATCAAAAACGGCTCCCAGATAGCCATTGGCAGTCGCTTCACGAGAGTGCGCGCTCAGCAGCTGCTCTCGTGTTAGGCGTTGCCAGAGGGAGGGGGGGGGGGGTGCTTTTCACTGCTTTTGGGCTGGCCTGCAAAATGATTATCTCATCTGAGACTCTGTGAAAGAAAGCACTGCAAAGGCTGGGGTGTGCAAGCGTCTTCATGCTTGCAGGCCAAAAAAAATTATAAACTAAACAAAAATACTATTGTGTGTGGTATTTTTGTTTAGTTTATGTGCATCGCAAATAAAAATTTCATTATCCACTATTCAATTTGACATTAGGCTTTTTGGCCACTATCCGATTTAAACTAAAGCTTCACTATCCGCACACTATTCACCCTAATCAAACTTAAGTTGTAGATTTCAGAAATACACAACAGCATAACATATGTATTTTGCTCTCACAACACTATGACGTGCACATTCTGCTTTAAACATCTTTGAGTACGGACCGCAAGTTTTATGTGTGTGCATGCCACCTATATGTTAGCAAGTGGGTTTTGCTCAGTGCCATTTATTGGAACATAGGTATGGTTGCTCATGAATAAAAAGAAGCTGATCTGTGGCTTCTAGCCTCAATGAACACTATGCCTTAGAGGTCTCCCTACGGTCATAGATGAGTCTAGCATTAATGGGGACTAGAAATACAAAGAAATACAGTAGAACCTTGACTATGCGTCCCCAGGTTATGTGACGTCCCACATTTTATGGCAATATGGTGCAGCGCCGGCAAACTCCCTATAGAAATGATGTGTTGGAATTTCGAATTGCACGATGCACGAAACACGGATTCTTGCTTTATGCAACAGCTCCCATCCTTTCTTCTTTTCATTTTTTTTCTCGCATTTCATTGGTTGCTTTGCAGGGAAAAATGGACCAAACCCGAAAACAAAACGGCGCATTGCCTAAACATCCTCCTCCTTCCTCCCCGTGGCTGTCTTCTCGGCCACTTCGTTTCATTTCCTTTGCTGACAGTGTTGCTTTTGATTGTTTCGTATTTTCGCCCTCTTTATCCTCCCCCAATTGCGTCTTTCTCCACTTTTCTGCGACATGTCCCGCTCTTTCCTTCTTCACACTGTTGTGCCGCACCTGCTGCGCCTCGTCAGTGTCGGTCTCTGTACAGAGCCTAGATCAAAGAAACGGAGAAACTTAAACCATGGACCGAGTTCGCAATTTAATGGTGGACGCCTCCTGCGCAGATTGGCCATAAGTGCACATGCATCGCATTGTAGCGTGGCGAGGAGAGAAGCGGGCGGATCTAAGCAAATAGTGATGCTTCCGACTGCTCCTCACTGCTTGTACCCGATCGAGCAGTTGGAAGCACTCGACAGTCTAGGCACACTAGGTCCGTGTGATCTTGCGATCGCGCTTGCTGGGTCGTGCAGCGCACCACACCGCACTTTCAGAAAGCGAAAAAGGTGTTGAGTCTCGGTGTATTCTCTGCCTACGACCTTTGCGTGTTCCGCAAAAGTTCACGCACTCTTAAATAACGGTGTGCCGTGTCCATGTGGACTCATTCTGATTTGAGGACCATGTCAAGCGCCAATGACGACATCGTCGTTCACAATGCTGCGACACTCAATGAAGTCGTTAAAAATAAAACTACCCAATGCCGATACTTTGAATGAAGACGAAAGTGCCGCAGGCGCCAAGCTATGTGTGCCGACATACTATGTATAAATGTCATGTTTGATGGCATTCGGAGGTCTGCGTATGCTCAAGGCGGCATTGCTGACTTGCTTCTGGAGGTTGTGGCCAATGAAAAGAGATTACTGATGATATCTCTAAAGATCAGGGTAAGTGAAAATACCGTATTTACTCGAGTAATAGCCGCACTGTTTATGAAAGAAACCCTGAAGGTCTGCTTTCCCGCCGAGCACGCAGATTTCCAATCACCTAGATCGACAGCATGATTCCAGCTGTTTACAGGACAGAGCTAATGTCTTTGTGCAAAGATACCATCTGTGAAGACTGCATTTCTATGGAGAATCGTGTTCTCGATCTGGTTATTCGCTACGCTATTTATGCACAATGCAATGATTGCCTGTGTATGTGTTCTGTGGGAAAGTAGACGCAAGGGCCTTATTCATAAATAGTGCGGCTATTACTCAAGTAAATACAGCACAATTTAGTCAGTGCATTTACTGTAGCACACTTTTCTTTTTATTTATTAAAAGGCTTTGTTTCCTTTTCACTCAGCAGGTTATTAGTTTAGAACTACAGAGGTTCCACTGCACTATAAAGCACCAAGCAAAAGCCCACCCAAAAGCAGTAAATATAAAAAAACACAAGGGAATGCGCACTTGTTAGGTTTAACAGCAGAAAAGCAGAAAGAGCACATGGTAGGCTAGGTCCTTGTTTCATATAGCTGAATTGTATAGGAGCAGTAGAGTAGAATTCGAATTATACGACTTTCAGGGGACCGTAAAAGAGAGTGGCATGATCCAGGAGTCGTATAATCCAAAACAACAATATTTACAACATTGGGGCATAACCCCGCATGAGAAAAGTATGTGTAACTTCTCTAATTACTTCTAAGCTAATAACCTGCTGGGACAAAAGGAAAAAAAACTATTAAAAGAATGTAAATAAAATAAAAGCTGGTGCAGCAAAAACACTGATAAAATTGTATTTTCATTTCACCTTCCTTTCAGAAAGTTGATCAGTCGTTTCCTTTCGTGGGCCACAACCTTTAGAAGCAAGTCAGCAATGCCATTTTGGGCTAATGAAAATCACCGAATGCCATCAAACATGACATTTCCGCATATGCTGGCACACCCAGCTTAGTGCCTGAGACACTGTCATCTTCGTCAGAATCATCGGCATCGGGTAGTTCCCTTTTTGACGATGACCCCATGTGCGCACAGCGCACCTCGTGCTCCGCACGTAAACTTCGGCAGAGCACGCGGAAATCATAGAGAATACACCGATACTCGACGCCTTTTCGCTTTCTTAAAGTGCAGCACAACCCGACGCATCGACGCAAGCAGTGTTACGGGGTGCAGAGAAAGAAAGAAAGCCGCGAAGTATGAGAGCAATGCGGGACGCGTATGTCGAGGGAAAGCGATGAAACGCGCGATTGGAAGGTGTATAGGGTGAAAGAGGCGGAACAATGAGAGCTGAGGTGGCCATAAATCGTGAGCACCAACCTCGGTGGTCCCGAGATACAGAACGAGAAAGAGAGCGACAGAGAGCGGAAACAAAAAGTAGTCGATAGGTTCGGTGTGTTTATTTTGCTGCAACGGCTTTAAGTTGCTCGAGAGCTAGTTAACTTCATTTATTTTTATATAATGCGCAACAAAGGTGTTTTTCTGCAAAATAAACCTAGAAAAACACTAGGTATACAACCTTGCAAGTGATGTTTTCCTGCTTCTTTGCCTATATTAAAGCATCACCTGTGATAGGGGCCCATCGGGAGCAGGACCATTTTGCGACCACCAATGTCAACGACAATAGCCTGTCGTTCCGACGCAGCCGCAATGCAATGCGATGCAGTGCGCAGTTTCATTGTTGAGAAAGGCTTGTTTTTAACAAAAATGCAATGCTACAGCAAAAAAAAAAGAAGATGACTGGAATTGTTGTAAGATGCAGGATCCGTGTTTTGAGCGTCGTGCAATCCAAAATTCTAGACGTGTGCATGGTATGTCTGATGGATTACTGTTAACCCAGGCACCACACAAATCGATAAAACTTAAAGTTGTACCATGCGGCTCTGTGATTCCATTAGGACAGAAAAATAAGGTAGTTACGAGAGCACCACCACGGGTTTGAATTACCGTGTTCTGGAAAAATGAAGAGGACTTCTCCCTCACAGCACGTGGAAGAGTGACTAGCAGGGCCAGGGTGGTCACCACTGCAATGGAAACGAAGTAGCAAAGAACAAATTAGGGAAAGCTGTGGAATGACATAAGCTTAGTTTTCTTTTATAGATATGAAAGTTCTCTCACACTGACGATCCTCCTCACTACGCGTGTCAGCCCTCTCCAAGATCTCGTACGTGAACTTGTCCACCTTCTTCGAAGCCACGTCCAGCGCTGTGTCCATTTCCTCTTGGGCCACCACAGTGATGGTTTGGACAGGTGACTTGCCCCCGAATCTTTGGAATTCTAGGAAGATCTGAAATACATATTGTGGATTGTAATGAAACTGATGAAAGGCATAGTGAATGCGACATTAACACTTACTTCTTCTGCTCTCTCGAGAGCTGGAAAGCGCTGGAGGATCTCCTGGGCGGAGGGGCGCTCCTTTACAATCCAATGCCGACGGGCAGCAAACGTTCGGGTCAATCCATCCAAGAGCTTGTCTGTGTCTGGGCTCTCCTTCCCCATCTCTCTTTGCATAGACTTTATGCGGCCTTCGATGCTGTAATCATCCTCCGTAGAGTCTATACTAGCTTTTCAGGCTGGTTGAGCAAGAAATTAAAGCACATTCCAATTAGACATTTTGTTCTCTCGTATGTCCTTGAGGAAGGCTTAGGAGATGCTTCTGCGAATAACTAAATGACAGGTTTGAGCAGCTTCTTTGCTTGATAAGGTTGACTACATGGCAAATATAGCATATTTTGAATTAGATGTAAAGAATTAACTACCGGGTTCAATCGAGAAAATGCCACACACCTTTTTGGCCTGTATCAATAAACTCTGCATCACAGAACGTTTAAACAAAAAATGCGACACTAGGGGTGATGATAAAATGCAAGTGTTTTTAGAAAATCACAACAACTTTGTAAGCGAGAGAGAAAAGAATATTATCTCTCCTTCATAAATGTGTTTCACTGGAATAAATTCCATACCTCAAACCACGTTGTTAGTTTGTTTTCACAAATTTAGACTTAGGTGGACATCGGTACAGAGAAATTTAGTTTTTCTTTTTTCATCCAGGAAACGTCTCGTCCTCAAACTTTGAATTTTATCATCAATGCTGGCGTCACATTTTCACGAAGTTTCAATATTTTACAATTTATTGTTTATTCATATAGACCTTTTCTGCAAGTGCGCCGCCATCTTGAATTTACGTACGTCACTTCCAGTATGGGCGAAAACATGGTTTTGCCTTTGCCACGCCAATAGAAAGCATTTAGGATATAAGCGTAACCGTCACACTTTCTCGTTTTTCCTCCCCTTTATTTTCTTACTATTTGCAGGTTGAAACGTTTTAGTATTTTTTCGTCGCCCATACCGGATACGCCTATTAGGTGCCTGGGGACGAGAGTACACAGAAAAGGTCTATAGGCTGAAAAGCCGGGTTTCATTATCTCTATTGAACCCACAAAAATAAGCAGTTCAACTGCCAAACATGACACCAGCAGCATGATTGAGCAAGTCATGTTTGAAAAACTAGAGCAGAGCAAGATGTCTTTCATATCTGGAAAGCCAGTGGAGATATGAACACGGATCAAGCACATTCATATGCATGCTTCTATGGTCAGTGACAGCTTAAGAAAAATTTTCTGGCTGGGGAGGAGGAAGCAGACAAAATGCTGAAGAGAGGAGGTTTCCTCCTCTCCTCTTCAGCATTCCATCTGCTTCCTCCTCCCCTGCAGTCCTTTCCCTCGAAAACTTTTCGTAACCTGTAACTGACTATAGTTAAATATTGTTCTTCGCATTGGCCTCTAGTCAGAAGGGTAAAATGACCATAGAAATGTTCCTCCCTGAAAATTCATCTTGAGAGGGACACACCCATCTTCCTCAGGCCCTTCAACTACCTTGTGGTACTTAGAAAGAAGGAAAAAAAATGTTAATTGACCTGGCGGCAGACTCTCTTCGCCGACTCCAACCCATTCGCAGCGTCTTGCTTGGCTGCGTGCCTCCCAAACTTCTCTCGGGTAGATGCGATCTCGCCGTCGTTTACAAACTTGGATCGCTCGAACTCGCACTTAAAACGCAATGCACGCTGCCAGGAATCGTGCATATTTTAACACATTAAAAAAAGATTTTGAAGCCTTAAAGACTTACTGAAAAGAAAAACAATATAATTTTTTTAAGCAGACTGGTTGAGACACGCGTGTCAGAAACTGAATTTTACGTAAAAAAAAAATTTTAGAGCAATATTGAGGGTGCTAGATTTATTTTAAATTCTGTGCGCAAAGTCCATGACGTCACAGAATGGTCATACGCTCTTTCCGCCTCAACAATATGGTCATGCACTCTCTCCCCCTTAACGTGATGGCCAAGCCCATCCACCTCCCCTCCATGTGACCGAAATGCCAGGAAATAAAACAAGGGGGAGGAGATGACTACCGATTAAATTGCGTCTTATGCCATCACTATTGCTCTAAATTGTTTTTTTTTTTCATATAAAATTAATGTTTTGTTATATGTGTGCTCGTGACAGACTGTTTAAAAAAAGTTTTTGTGTGGTTTTTTTAAGAAAATATTGCACGGTGAAGATTTTCTTAATAGACTTTTGGACATCACTTCAATAATTTTCCCTACACAAATTTACATTGTTGCAGACAATACCGTATTTACTCGCAGAATGAACACACTTTTTTTCCCTAAAAACTGACCCATACGTATTTGGAGTTCATTACGAGGGGTAAAATGTTTACATTTACACACTTTGCACAAATGTCGTTTTAGGTGCCAATATGACATGGCAAGGAACTGTGGCACGTCTCCACTGACGGAGGCGCGCCCATGGCTGCGTGGTCATGGGCGCGGCAGAGTAATCATGCTCTATAAATTACAAACTTTTTTTTAAGGTGCTTATGGTGTGCCTTTTGTGGAAGAAAATGCACTCTAAAACTCACTCAGCACGGAAAGCAAAGCGACCGTTCTTAGGCCTAACCACTTTCACTCAGTGGCCGAAAGCAGACCAGAGACGACAGCGTGTTTGTTGACATCAATGCATTTGATAGGCGAAGAATGTCCGGGGCTGCGAGATTCCTCGACCCAAGCTTCGTCAAATGTGCGCTCCGCTCGGTTTCACGGTTCATCACTTCCGCAACTACGCACTTGTGGCCGCATGCAGCCATTAGGAGAGCGGCTGGGCTTGGTTTGACTTGTTCTGACCGCTTGGTGGCAAAAGAAAATTGACTTGGTAGCCAGCTAAATTGGACGCAATTCGAGACTCGCGGAGCCGAAAATTGGAAGTGCGCTCATTAGGCGAGGGAAAAAAAGGCCAAATATTGGTGCTCGTTTTGGGGGGTGCCTAGATTATGCAAGTGCATTCATTATGTGAATAAATACAGTAAAGGTGCCTCCAGAAAACCTACCTTTAGAGGCAGAAGGAAACCAAACGAAGAGAACCTGAGCGTAAGTTACTTTAGATTTATGCTGGAGCCAATCCCTTTGTTACGTAGCTGTTGGAGAAATCTTGGTAATAATCCATATTAATATAATAGTGAATGCTTAAAACATGGCTCGAGGTGTGCCTGGCAAAACTGTATATACTTTTGTTTGCAAAGTAGAATGGCATTGACATGCGCATTCATTGATTGAGAGCTAGTGTAGAGAAGGAACAGTAACACTCGCAGAGATTGAGCAACTATCTAATTCAAGTGGCGGTGAGGCACATCTCACTGCGAAAGCTGGACCAAATGCTGAAGGATCACCCTGCTGTAGAATTCCCAGTTTTACACAAATTACCACACCCCTGCAGCAGAAGGTGGGCTATGTAAGGGGGGCCCACGTGGGGTCCACTTGGGCAGCCCACCAGGGGCCCTATGCTACACGGTGGGACCAAGGAACTGAGACGTCATCTGCTACGATTGGTCACCCAGTCGAAAATTCTCATTAGATTCCAATTGAAATTTCCAATTGGTACCAGTTAGGTTTTCGGACAACCAATTGGTCACTGTAATGGGAACCAATGGAAACCATTTGAAACCCATTAAGTTTCCAACTGGAAAATTTTTTCCAATTGGTGAGACCCATTGGCCAGTGTGCTTCCAATTGGAACCCACTAAAACCGATTGGTTCCAATTAAAACCAGTCAGAACTCGATCTTTTGGTTCTGCTTTGTCCCGCCGTGTAGCATAGGGCCCATGGGCAGTATTTAGCAGACCCACGGGAGGCCTAGGTGGGCATGCCCCCCCCCCCTCCTGTGTGATCCAGGAGGGGCCACATGGGCCCGGCCCCTCCTGGATCACACAGTGGGACTACGCGGACAGCCCACACGGGGCTCAACCTCAGGCTATTCTGCGTCATCTCATTCTCTAGACAATGTAGCTAGGATCTATCATATCATTATTCCCTACGATATGCGGTAATGCAGCGCATCCGAAATTAAGCCTTCATCACACTTTTTCTGCGAGTCCTCGCTACATACACACCGGGTAGTGAGTTTGTAGTAAACCAGATATTTCTTTTGCACACATTAAATTACATTTCTCGGTGAATTGGCGTCAAAATGAACTGATCTCCTATGTTAAATTTCAAAAATATTTGCTCAAGTGTTATTTTGGGAATTGCATGAGCAGCCCAAGTTGGACATGCCCATGCTTTGCCCTTTTGGAGCTCATCTCCATGCTAACTCTGCCCCCACATAGTTGTGGGACCCATGGGGACACTGCACGGGCAGCCCAAGTTGGGGTGGGGCAGCCCACGCGTTGCCCCCCTGGAGCCCACCTCTATCCTAGCCTTGCCCCCTGAAAGTCGAGGTGGGACCCATAGAGACATTGCATAGGCAGCCCAAGCTGAACATGCCCACATCGTCGCTCTGCCCCACAAAGCTGATGTGGTGACGACGGGGGTATTGCACGGGAAGCCCAAGTTGGGCATGCCCTTGTGTAGACGAGAAGGGACCCACGGAGTTATGTTTAGGCAGCCCAAATGGGCATGTCCTCACTTTATCAACATCTATGCAAGGACTTACAGGGGGTATTGCACGGGCAGCCCAAACTGGGGACGTTTATGTCACACCAACATGTGACACAGGGGGTATTGTAGGGACTGCCCCAGCCCACTTTGCCCAATGGGCCCCACTCTGCTACCTGGGTGCCAATGATTTGGCTGTGTATAGAGAAAGCACACACACTGTTGCCTTCTGCTAACAGAGCCACTGAAACTTTTAGACAGCCAAGTGAAACATTGCAAGACGTGACTGCCACTTTTTGATTCTAACCCCTTTTTGCAATCACTGTTCTCTAGAATATATACAAGTCCAGGAATGAGATATACACAGAGACAGTGCATGTTTGTGTATATTGTCACGGGTGGTGACCAAAAATAACAAATAAACAGGAAGAAATAAATGTTTAATGTGGCGAACTTGTGCCAAAAATAAAAGAGTACAAAATATAATAATAGAGCGTCGCGGGCGTCGAAGTCGGCGTGGCAGCAGAGTCGAACGCTGGGGCGAGACTGATTCCGCTCGCCTTGCGGAATCCCTTATGTACCCTCGTGGGTTTCTGGATCGTTCGGCGTAGAAGGTTCGGCGCGTGGAACATTCTAACCTCGAATCAGCAAGACGGTTCTCGAATTCACCAGAACCTTACATTACAGTGTCAACAAAAATGCGCCTCCGCGGCCAGGAATCGAATCCTGGCTTTCAGCGTGGGAAGCAAGCGCGATAACCGTTAGGCCACGCGCGCGCTGCCTGCTTGGCCAGCTGCGCGCGCGGCATTACTCCCCCCTTTAAAAAGTGCATCGTCCCGATGCAATCCGAAAACAAAGCAAATAAAAATAACGGTAAATTAAAGAGTCATTTGGAACACATAAGGTCCACAGTCCTATCGAGCGTAGTACGGCTTCAGTCGCAAGACGTGGACGACTTCCGGTCGTGGAGGGCGGCGTGACGAAGTCCGTGTTCCGTCGGGCATCACCTCGTAGTTCATATCCCCGAGTCGACGAAGCACTTTGTAGGGTCCAAAGTATCGTTTCAGCAATTTCTCACTGAGGCCGCGGCGACGGATGGGCGTCCATACCCACACCCTGTCTCCGGGCTGGAAGTGGACGTCCCTGCGACGAAGGTTGTAGCGGCCGGCGTCGACGCGTTGCTGGTCTTGAATTAGGAGTCGGGCGAGCTGGCGAACTTCTTCGGCGCGTTGAGCAACCGCCTGGGCGTCGTCGCTCTCGTTGTCAGATGGCTCATGGGGCAGCATGGCGTCCAGCATGGTCGTTACCTTCCGACCATATACCAGCTGGAAAGGGGTGAATCCAGTGGTCTCTTGAACCACCGTATTGTAGGCGAACGTGACGTAGGGCAGCACCTCGTCCCACGTCTTGTGCTCTACGTCGACGTACATAGAAATCATATCGGCGATTTTCTTGTTGAGTCGCTCCGTCAGCCCGTTGGTCTGCGGGGACTGGTTGTTCATCGTCGTCCTGTTTGACTGCACGGTCCTGGGTGGCAAAGGTCCAAATTCCGGGTGTAGGCCTTGAATGCGGCGCCTTAATCGAGTCTTGGTGGTGTCTTCGTCGGGTCTTCGGGGGCTTGCTCTCGGACTTGCACTGCGGGCCCTGGGAGGGGTACGCTGCAGGGACGTGTGTACCCCGCACCTCCACCAAAAATGTCATGGGTGGTGACCAAAAATAACAAATAAACAGGAAGAAATAAACGTTTAATGTGGCGAACTTGTGCCAGAAATAAAAGAGTACAAAAGATAATAAATAATAAAGCGTCGCGGGCGTCGAAGTCGGCGTGGCAGCAGAGTCGAACGCTGGGGCGAGACTGACTCCGCTCGCCTTGCGGAATCCCTTATGTACCCTCGTGGGTTTCTGGATCGTTCGGTGTAGAAGGTTCGGCGCGTGGAACATTCTAACCTCGAATCAGCAAGACGGTTCTCGAATTCACCAGAACCTTACATTACAGTGTCAACAAAAATGCGCCTCCGCGGCCTGGAATCAAACCCTGGCTTTCAGCGTGAGAAGCAAGCGCGATAAAGGCTAGCCCACATGGCGCGTTTTTCAGTGCGTCTAGACGCGCGTCTCGGCTTGGCGCGCGCGCTAAGCGGGACGCGTGCGCCCAGTCAAACCACACGCAGCGCTTCCACGCAGCGCTTCGCGTCTGCGTTTCCGAAGCGTCTGCCCAACGTAGCCAGACGCGCTTAAGAAACAAATGCAAACATTAAATAGAAATCGCGCGGTAGATGATGGCTACATGCCGTAATATTTAATTTTAGTAATAGTAAGCACTCATTTTTATTACAGCAATCGCAATGAAGCTCAATTTCACTAATTTTCATCCTTTTTAGTGCGTACGCATCATCCACGTTTCGATACGCCATTGGCATCACCATCTCCCGCGCCTAAACGCTGGCCGCTACAGATCAGAAGTTGCGTTGCTGCTGTTATTGCCGATAGTGTCAATTTATTACCTTTGTCTCTCGGATTAATATATTACTTTTAACAAAGCTCTGTGACGCGGACAAAATGGAGCGCGAGCTAGACGTGCTTCTTTTGCGCAAGAGGCTCGTGCTCTTGCAGCTGCTAGTTAAGAAAAGAGCACGAGTAGAGCGTAAATGGTGGGTTCGCCCAATCTTCGAGAAGCGAAGAGAAGAAGGACTTTACCATACTGCGGTAAGCTCCTCTCACGTGACTTATGTGCATTCGCATGCATAACACTTTGTGATTTCTTCACTTCAGATGAAACGTATGAGAGACGGCGACGTCGACTTCTTTGTCAGGTTTTACCGCATGACTCCTCCGACTTTTGATGAACTGCACGACATGGTGAAGGAGGACCTGACACGGCAGTTCTTCATCCGTGAGCCGCTTCCATCGGAAGAACGCCTTGCGATTGCCCTGAGGTATCGTATTTTCAGAAGCTGCCTCTATTGTTTACATGCGGGTCAGATATTCCCGTCTAGGGTGATAGCCATTTCTTTGAGTCTGCCTGCGCGTAATGTGTGAAAAATATGGCAATGAAAACTTCCCATTCCCATCACATAGCCCTTCCAACGAACGACAGCTAGCGACGAAGGTTACAATCAGTCAGCCAAACTTGCGTAGACTGGTCGTGTGAAGTAAGATGCATCAATGAAGTGAGCAAAGGTTGCACTCTGTATTTCATTCTGTTCTATTGCAGCTACCTATCATCTGGCCAACAGATCAAGGACGTGGCCCTGCTATACAGGGTTGGGCCTGGAAACAGCGCGACAGGCAGTCCATGTCACGTGCCGGGCCCTGTGGGAGAGGCTGCACCAACCATTCATGAAGGTATGTTCTACTAACTTGATGTGATATGTTTCACATTTCTTTGTAAACAGGAAAAAATTAAAACATGGTTATACTTGAAGCGAAAAAAGTCAGCGATGTAACTCTATTGATAAAAATTTGTAGTCATTTATAAAAATGCAAACAGGTGGGTTTATCAACCTACAAAGAAAACTAACAAATCTACTACAGATCGCAACCATGCTAACACGAACAAAACTTTGAGAAAGTTGCAATTCATACATTATTGTTACCACAATTACTCAGTCGGAAAGGATACTTGGTGAGAGATCCGACAATAACCTCGAGAAAAACCTTAGTACGTCATATCTGCATCAGTGCTTCGAGTGCGGGACCTCCTCCCCCAATTTCGGCAGGGGGTAGGAGACCCTCCCGTTGTACCCGACGTTACTCTGTCTTAGTCCTGTGCTTGGGGAACAGAGTCCTGGTAAATTGTAAGAATACATAGCTGTAGATGTGTCGGTTTAATGTTTTCGAAAAAGAACAAATAGAGCCCCCCCTCCCCCCAAAAAAGCGTTACTTTTTAACTTTTTTTTAGCCGCATTGTGTTTCAAAGTTTGTTTGGGGGGTTGCGGGAGGGACTACAGTTGGGGAGGTACAAATGCTGAAAGCATGTGTGTTTGTGCACCGAATGTTCTGCCAGAGCACCAGCGCCACGGCGTTCATTTTCGTTGCCTGCGGCGCCGCTATCGTAGTCGCTCTTCTATTAACACGCACAGATAAGCAAGCGCCTAGACATTGCATACCCTCGCAGGCGTACATCATCTGTACATACAAGTGCGTGCATCCACAATATGGATGAAGAGGTTCGTCTCAAGGGTGCTTTTGCTAAACAGTTTCTCAGAAACCACTGCAAGAGACGGCGGTAGTTTTTTTTCTTTTCTTTTTCGATTGCTTTACACAACGAGAGTAGGCAATTTAGAACTTTGCCCGTCTTTTGTCCGAACCTGTCATGACGTTTCCCTTCCTTTGCAACTTTGGCACATGGTTCTGTTTACTGTTGCTTGCCATTTTTATTTTTTAGTCATTTTCAATATGTGTGCTTTCTCACAAAACGATAGAAGGGATTTTTTTAATGAGCTGTTTATGCCCACAGATTTATTAATCCAAGGAATAATAGCAGAAAAAAAGAAAGAAAGATGCTTGCTTTAGTGACTATGAAGCACCGTAGTCAACATGTGCAACAGTGGCACGCAAGCTGCCATGCCGCGCAACTTGTGAGCTATACATACTGGGCGAAAATACAGCGGGCCTCAGCGGGTACTTGAAAATTAGCGTCGGGCCGGGCCGGCTGTCTAAAAGAGCTAGCGAACCGCTGGGCGGGGCTGGGCTTAAGTGACATGAACAGCCTGTACCTGTGCTCGAGCTAGGAGAGACCCCCCCCCCCCCCCTCCCCCCAGACTGGAGGGGGACTTTAAGCCCTCTGTGCATGTGAAAGAAAGGAACAAAATGGACATGAACAGGATGAGACGTCTTTCTAGGTGCTTAATTTTCCCCAGAATGTAAGCATTTAATTCCAGCAAGCATACTTTGATAAGAATCGATAGATTGGGTTGCTACATTCCATGATAAAATGAAGTGCCGAAAACACATTAAACAAGAATGTTTAGCAACTTGATTTTGTCCTTGTAACTTGCTTTTATCCCTGTTTAAAATTTAGTGACCTTTATTGTGTGAAGCATGCTTCTTCTTTATCACATACCCTCTTCCAACATGTTTCTCTACTCCAGCCTTTATTGGAATATGTCAACAATCGCTCTTTTTGATCTTGGCTGTGGGAACCTTCGCATTTTTGTATGGCCACTTGTCACACTTCATAGGGCATGTTAGGCTCCACTAATGGCTTCTCTTTCTAGCCTCCTACTGAGGCTGAGTGGGTGGAGATCGCGGAGGGGTTCAGGCGGAGGTGGCAGTTCCCCAACTGCCTAGGAGCTGTCGATGGCAAGCACGTCGCAATCACCTGTCCCAAGGACTCTGGCAGCGTTTTCTACAATTACAAGGTGTGTATCACATGAACAAGATGTCTAAATAAATCATGTTGTACAAATTAGAGAAAGTGGTAAGGAAAAGACAAATTATGAAGTGGGAGAAAAAGACACAGGGGGTTACAGCTGAGCGTCATTTTTGAAAAAGGGTAACATTCCAGCATCAGTTCTTGAGAAGAAGTCTGTGGAACCTCTCAACTCACTCTTTCTTGAATGCGTGGGTAACATTGAAAAAATAAGGAAGACTATCGTCACTATCCTGAAGGATGATATAAATTGCCTGGCGAGACAGTGAACCAAACAAGGATAATGTTAAGTTTAAAGCTTCCCCCTAAAGACCACAAACCAGGGTCGCTAATCTCGTCAAGCACAACTTTGTGCCCAAAGTTTGCGGAACGCGCTAATTGGACTCGCGCGACGCTGACGTCACGCCGAGCAAGGTGTCAATCATTCGAATGCTCATTTCTTTGAGAGAGGCAGAATGTAGCGAAGTTCATCGAGTCGCGCGTGAGGGGCGCGAGGAGCCCGCTGATTGAACGGCTTCGCCGATGACGTAGCGCCCGTTTGTCCCTACATCCCTACACCATGCTAAAATTAATGCTTTGCAGATTGTCCCTCGGCGACCGGCTGACGCTCCAAATCCCTCCAAAGTTTGTGTTTAAAAAAAAACCTCGTTTCGAAGTTGTCGCTGACGTCAAAGTGACGTTTCCGAACTTTGCGAGAGCCGTGGTTTGAGCTCGAGATCTTCGCTTCGGATCGAGGCGAAGTTTGTCAACATGGCGGTGCCGTACGCTGCGGCTGAGCTTATCTTCCGCCATCGTCGGCGTCGCTACCGAGACCACCGGGGACGCCTTTCAACTCCCCGACGACGACTTTCGGCCACAGTACCGGCTATCGAAAGCCATAGTGCGTTGACTCTGCGACGAGCTTCGTTCAGCGCCCGGACTTCGAGGTGGCCGACAATCGCGTCTACCATGACCGTGGAACCACAAGTTCTCTGCGCGCTCCGGTTCTTCGGAACCGGTAGCTTTCAAGGCATGGTGGCGACTGACGAGCACCTGTCAGTCTCCCACATGACTGTGAGCCGGGCTGTCAGAGTTCTTGCGGCTGCCATCGCTTTTTTCTGTAATATCCGAAGAGGTGCTAATAAGCTGGTTGACAATTCAGAATGTTGGAAAACAAACAAGAGCCGGGGTAATTCTAGGGTAGGGTCGAGTCTCCCGGCAGCCGGCAGAATTACTCCCCGGAAATTCTACTGGCAGTCGTTGCTCATTGGCGGTCAAATCAGTTCATCGAACGAGGTGTCATTGACAGATCGTTTCATCGGCACGCAATGTAATCACATGAAGAGATTTTCTTCAGTTAGAGGTATATACACATTCAACATTTTCACACCTTTATACATGTAAGTGGGGTGTCCCATAAATAACCCAAATAACCCTCTAATAAGTGTATCAATAGACCTTATAAAAAAAAAATGTAAACCTCACACCTTTAAAAACTCATAATTTTTTAAACACGTTCCTTAAAACGTGTGATAATGCACTACACCTTTTTAAGTTGTAAAACTACAATACCCCTTCTTGTCAGGCACGTAGCCAGGGCGGGGAGGAACCATAAGGCCCCCCCGAAATCTTCCATTTGCTGAGGCCTCCTCTCCCCCCTCCCCCTCATAGAGCACTTTGTCATGGCCGCCCCCCCCTCCCCCTGAAACAAAATCCTGGCCACGTGCCTGCTTCTCGTCAAGGTGTAATTACCACAGTACATTTCTTTTTTGGGGTGTACACAGTGGCCCGGGACACAATAAAATGACTGAACAAATAAATTACGCAAACGAGTCGCCAAAGAAGCGCGTTGCTTCTTGGCGAGTGTCGAGGCAATTTCAGCCGAAAACCGGCTTCAATACTGGCCGGATGTACGGTTTTGCGTCTCGTCCCGACATCCGGCAGGTATGGGTGTACCAATGCAAATAAACGATTTATGTCTAATAGCACTGCCACCACTGATCTCTTAGTAGGCTGGATCGCGGATATAGGCCTGTATTGCTGGGGTCGAGCGGCACCACCGGCAGTCATTGCTTGACATGAGCTAATGCATGCTATAGGAGAAACGGGAAAACTCAATTTTATTACGTTAGTAGGTTGTTCTCAATAATGAAACTTCTATCGTGCTTCCCCAAATAACAGTTAATATTGTGTGCAAGAATATTAAATGCGTTAGAATACCAATCTTGTTTAAATAAATGTTGTGTGGTTGAGGGTGGAGGGCGACTTTGTTGGGCGTTAACTGTGATGTGTTTAATGAGACAAGGGCTACCGAGAGTTATTGTGGAGTCATACGTGATCTCGGAGTCATCAGAGCTCAGCAAATGATAAGTTAGAAGGCCTTTACTGGGGACATTCGCATCGCATCGTTTTAACCGCTTGTCATAGTACTTCATGGTGAAAGCTTTTTCTTTGAACTGCTGCGAGGGCTTCCGTGACAAACTGAAACTCGGAGCGTGCCGTTCAGTCGCTGAACGCGCCATTTATTTAGCAACCGAAGCAAGCGACGTCGGTAAAATCGGTGGTCCTCCGGGCCATTTTTTTTAATCAATGTTCGAAAGTTTGACGAATGTCTATTTGACCTTTAAGCACCTGATATAATCGTCGCAGCACGTCATAAAATACTCGCCCTTGAACACTGCATACAAGCTTCCTATTTTTGCGTGTTTTTTCCTTAGACTTGCGTGTATTGCCTCATGGTGTAATACGCCAAAACAACAAGGACGAAACCGAAGGGAGAACTAGACAGGACGCGGCGTATTGCCTGTTGTCAAGCAATAGCCGCGGTGAGGCCAGTGACGGGCTCCCGATCCGCGATCCAGACTTGCACTGTGAGAGTTCTAATGCATTGCACCCGTGGAGTGCTGCACGGAGAACAGGCCCCGAACGAACTTGCCGAATGCACCGAGTGCAGACTGGTACTGACGCCGTAGGTGTTGTAGAAAAGTACCAACCTCAAACCGAAACTAGCACCTTTTTGTTCGACATGATGGGTGGGCATGCGAGAGCGCAGTCGCTGCCATTGTTTATCTATAAACTTTGGTTGCTGCAACGTGTAACTTATATTTGCGATGACTTCTAATTAAGGAACTCGGCTGTTAGAAATATCTACAGACGGCATAAGTTTCCGAAACCAGCTGACTACAAAACAGCATACACTTGAGAAAATTGATGTCACTGTAAGCGCAAGATCTTGCTTCGTTTTAAGCATAGTATAATGAGTGAACCACTGAAAGGATGCGGCTTAAATCTAGTTCTTTGGAACATCTAACAATACGTTTCGTGAGACTTTTTATTTCCCTTGTGAGGGCATTGAAAACGAGACCTTTCTCAAAAAGAAAAAAAAAAATACGACGGGGCAAGATAGCTGTCGTTCAAATATGACTGCGTGAGCCTCGGGCAACGTTTTCATGTTTAGACTTCCCGGACGCTGAGTAAATGCGTCACGGGTTTCTGGCAAGGGAGCTTTGTCGAAAATGTTCCACTTTTCACCCGCACATACATGATGCAATATCTCGCGGCCTCTGCGTTTGTCCTGGGCCTTTCATTACACACTGGTAGGTTTCAGCGTCTGCACGGCTAGAAAGTGACTCAAATTTTGCAAATAAAACACGGGTCGTCGATTCCTCCCTTCGTGAAATATCGGACGCTTACAATTCAAGCTCGCGTTTGGGTTTGTGGCCCGCGGGACGCGATTTTGAGCAGAAAACCAACTTTTTCTTTCGGATCCGCTGTGCGAATGCCGCATCATAGAAACTCTCGTCGTCTGCTCTCGCTCCTCGCCTGGGCGAGGCATGACGGGATTGTCGGCGCTAGAAAGCTCAAAGACAATGTACAGCGAGCGGCGTGAACGCTCGCCTCCCCGCGCTGTCTCGTGCTCTCGTGCACCGCCTAGAGATTGCGGGGGATTTTTCGTCAAAAGTTGCGAAGTTGAGCGCGCGCAGGGAGGAGGAAACTTTGCGGCATTCTTTTGGTCACTCCTCACGCTACGTCAGAAAGCGAAGAATGTTTTTCTCCACGAGTTTAGCTACCCAGAAATGTCTTTCCGCGCACGTAATCAACCAAAATAAAATTTGCAGTATATTGGCTCTAAATTTCTCTGAGGGCACAATGTAGTGAGTCTGGAAAAAAGTCTTGTGCTAACAAATTGAGAACTTATTGATGTTAAGATGTCACCCTCTTGCTTGTGTCGTATGCTTCTGCTTCCAAGTTTCTCTTTTCCTTACCGCAGTCTCGGGTTCAGATCACATTGATTGCACTCATTGTGCGACTTATCCCTGGGCAGTTTGCCTGAGACAGTAAGGTTTTACACGTGTACAGGCATTCCACGACCATATCCCCCACCCGACATTTGTAGAAGAGTTTTTGGAATTTACCACTGTGTCGTGTTGCCTAAACTCAACGTCCAATTGCGACACATTATGTGTGTCTTTAACAAATGCAGACCTAAGATCTATCGGTATGCCACTGCTCCCGCCAAGCACATAGCCAGGAGTTCTTTTTTGAGGGGAGGGGGGAGGCCTATCGTTGTCAGTTTGGCCTGGGTGAGGGAGAGGGCGTGCCATCAAATTTTGTAGGTGGTCCCGAGAACCCTGGGCCTTGCCTCTGGATATGTGCCTGGTTCCAACATCAACCTCCACTCTGTCTGATGCACACTTCTTTGATGTGCACAATAATCTCGTGAGTCTCCTTCCACCATCAGGAGGCTACTAATTTACACAGTGACATTTGCTGAGTGCTGTGGCCGGCAATTTAAGTCTGTTATTTCAAGTACTCTTCAAAACGCATGGTATTTAGCATAGTTTCTCTGCACAGTGGAATTTCACCTCAAATCGAGTCGTTGAAATATTTTATGGGAAGCTCATAGCTGGTAAAGTATCACATTAAGTTTAATTTAAGACGGGGCAGTCTAAAGGCTTGTCTAGCCTGAAGGTGTTGCAAACTAAGAATATGGAACTCGGTGATGTTGTCCTTACAGTGAATGCTTTGATGAACTAAGTTGCCCTACTTTTGTTTCAGGGCACCTACTCCATAGTCCTGATGGCTGTGGTAGACAGCAAGTACAAGTTTGTGCTTATTGACGTCGGTGCAGAGGGACGACAAAGTGATGGCGGCATTTTCAAGGCCTCCGAGATTGGTCAGGGCCTAGATCAAGGCACACTCAACCTGCCGAAGCTGGGAGTGCTCCCAGGGTGTCAAAAGCCACGCCTGGTACCCTACGCATTTGTGGGCGACGAGGCGTTTCAGCTTCGCACCGACTTTCTCCGCCCATATCCGGCGAAAGGTCTTGCTGATGAGAGGAGGGCCTACAACTACAGACTCAGTCGAGCTCGGTAAGTTCATACCAGAGCTGTATATGGGGAGAATTTGGCCAGTTTATGATCTCGCCGCCATAACGCCCCCCTCCCAAGTGAGCCAGTCAGCCTGCGGCGCAGAGCGAGAGGAATGAGCGCATGCGCACGAACTCCCGGCTGCTCCCAGCTGTGCGGGGAGGGCCACCATTTTCATTCATTCGTCCGGCAGAATGAATGGGATTGACATCAAAATTTCGGTTTTCTCTTTTGATTTGGCAGGCTCTGGCAAGAAAATGATATAGTGTTATTCCCCAGCGGCTTAAAGAGCTAACGAATAAAGTTTCTCCATGTTTAGACGCAAACTTTTATTCAGGCGAAAAAGAAATAAGCTCGTAGTAGACAACTTGTAGCCTCAACAGTGCTTGGCGCGCCGACAGCGTCGCATCAAAACGGCGGTAGTCTTTTCTTTGCTCCCTTCTTTCTCTCTCGCTCCTTCGTCACTCTCCTCCCCTTCTTTCACTTTTCTCCTCTCCAGCACCTTCGTCGCCACACCCACTGGCCAGATTCTCCCCATATACGGGTCTGGTTCGTGTTGCACAATCAAACCACCAGACAAAAAATTGTGGTGCAGTGCATGTTTTGATAACTGCTATAGATAAGAAGTTGGAGTCAAGATTAATGAAAATCTTTGCACTAAGACAAGCTTGCTAAATTGGTGAAATCTGAGCACATGAACACAGTCTTAAAAGGACACTGAAGACAATTTGCATGTTCTATTTAAAATTGAAGTATATGTCAGGAGTTTCCCCGGCTATGTTGACCATGTTCCAACCGAAACTGAACTTCCGTCTGGTACAAATCATGAAAGCAGTCCTCTTAATAGTCATACTGTGAGCAACACTTCTCGGGGTATCTAGTGACCGGGAAAACCGGGACAAACCCGAATATTTCGGAATATGCAATTTGGATCAAGCCTGCAGAAAATTATCCTCAAAGTGCTCAATTTCTTGTGTTGTAATTGTCTTGTATATTTAACCAAATTGTTTTATATATTTAAGTGGTCAGGGAGTTTTGCCTGAAATTGTCAGGAAAAGTCAGGGAATTTCAAAATAATAAATTGCTAGACACCGTGCTTCTATTTTGGGGGACGAAAATCCAGTTAGTTTTGATTTTGCCAGTTTATTTGCAGATGCAGGCACAGGAGTTAACAAAAAGGACAGCGACACGTTTCGGCGCATTGCAAGTCCTGAACATCTTGAGAGGGGGCTATCCAAGGAGTTTATTAGTACTAGGAGGGGGCACATTGCAATATGTGTGAAGCCCAGTCATAAAAAAAGTTTAAACAATGTTGTACCAAACTTGACCCAAGATCTCTCTGGCAATTGGTGCACGTGACATGTCACGTGCGAGATGGATGGTTGATTGTAGCAGGATTCCTTGCAGGCTTGCGCGCGCTCCGTCCGGTAGGTTTTATCAGATCGAAGGCTAGATGTGAAGCAAGCAGCTCCGTCCGGTAGATTGCGTCTTGGGCCGATAAGTGAGGAGGGTAAGGAGGAAAATGAGAAAGGCGAGGCGTCAAGGGAGCTTGGATTGTGGAGGCTACACGGCTGACGTCATGCCCCCTCCTACCCTTCTTATCTTCCAATCGACAACACTTGTTTGTCGATTGTGCCCAAGCACTGCAGACAGTGCCAACAGGGCAAGCCGTCTTGAATTTTCAATTTCAATGACCTTGGTCACACTTGGCAGGATGCCGCGGATGACCTCAAGCTCGGCATACACCGGATGTGCTCAACTCGGGAGCTCATCACTGCGCAAACTTCCACCTCCTCCTCTAATTTCACTATCTTGAGTTTAGCGCTCTAGCAGCATTGTAGTCTACTACGAGGAGGAACTTTTTTAACCTCGCGACTACAGAAAGGTGCACCTGCCTTGCAACAGAAATTTTGCCATCTTTTTTTTCTTTTTGCCCCCAATAGTATTACTTTTATAACTGCCTCTTGTGAAGTGCTCAGCACATTTAAGAAACTGTCGTAGGATTTTGTCTTGCAATGATTTTGTGAATCGATTTACACTCGGGTTTCATCATACACATTTTTTAGTCTCAAGTCTTTCATAAATTGCTTAGAAGTGCATCCAGTTTCCATGTTTAGAACATCTGTCAATGTTTCACTATTCCTTTTATTCCAGTGCTATTGTGTGCACACTAATCACTTTAATAACTTCTGTCAAACAGGAGGTGTGTGGAGAATGCCTTTGGGATCATTTCCGCCCGGTGGAGAATTCTCCTCCGGACAATCAACCTCCTGCCAGAGAACGTCGATTACGTCATCAAGTCCTGCTGTGTCCTGCACAACTTTCTCTTGGCACACAGCGAACACCCAGCAGCCTATGCTGATCAGGACGACAACATGGGGAACCCCACGGCAGGAGGGTGGCGCCGCGAGATCCCAGACTCAGCGAGGGAATTGCTGTTTCCGCTGGAGGCCACACGTGCACGGAACTTTGGCGATGATGCAGACTTCGCCAGGAAGATGTACAAGTATTATTTCTGTAGTCCTGCTGGGGAGGTTTCCTGGCAGTGGGACCAGCCTGGCGTGAACAAACAGGTTGCACGAAGCAACCTGCGAAAGCTCGGAGTCCATGTGAACCTCATGTAAAATTTTGAGTCAAGTTGACATTTATTTGGCGAACCTCGGAAGACACAAAACAAAATATTAACTAGATTTTGAACTTTAATAAACACAATAGACCATTCGCAATATCCCCCAAGCGCCCTGGCCCATGCTAGAGGAATCATGGGAACGGTGTCCCTTCAGCTCCTTAGTGATCGATAATTTCGACCCAATTTATGGTTACATAGCTTTTGAGTGTAATTCGGAGTCACCCTGAACAAGCGCCTGATATACCCTAAGGCCTTATCATATCGCTCTTAAAATTTCTTAATGTCAGCGCTTTTGACACTGTGCATGCTATCCACCCTTCAACCTGGACGGGCTGCAGAAATCTTTTGCATCATTATCATTTTCGTGATATTAAGTTGGAAACTTTAAAAATGCTATAAGCCCCACTGACTCCGAGCTAAATCCTGGTTTTTGTTGTTGTGAATTGTCGGCTTTTTAAACCATTGCCGCTAAAACAACAATCACGAGAATGATAATATTGCAAGAGATTTCTGCAGCTCGGCCAGGTTGAAAGGTGGACCGCATGCACAGTATCAGGAATGCTGACATTCACGAGCAATTTGAAAAGTGGTACGACAGGTCCTTGGGGGTAGGGTGATTCCGAGTTGTGCTCAAAAACTGTGTAACCATTGAATTGGTCAAAATTAGCAATCACCAAGGAGCTGAAGGAACACCGTTCCCATGATTCCTCGAGTGCGGGCCGAGGCGCTTGCGAATATAGTAAATGTTCTATAGCAAGAATCATACATCATCAGAAAATATCGTGGTAATTAACAGTACATTTCTGAACAACAAAATTGCAGCATAAAGTGAATGTCTATACTCGTCGCCTCTACAGCTGTAACAAAAAAAAAAAAAAGGATGGGGTTGCATGTTTAGAGATAACATTTTAGCCTATCCGTTGAGTGCATGTGCCACACGGCAATGACTAGTTAATTTGACTAACCATGATTATTTCAACTAACCTGTACATGCAACACCAAGTCTTAATTACATTTCTATCCATTTGCTTCATTAGTAAGTTGCTGTTTGAAGGCACTTAGTAGATGCTGTAGGTATATTGATTCACAACAACTTGTCAAGTTTACATATTTCTCACATTGCATATTTTGTTTTGAATTTATTATTGCACTAGTTGTATCAATGTATTTGAATTCTTGAATAAATATTCTGTATATAGATGTAACTTGAACATATCACCATCTTTGTAAATTGCCTGCTGCAGCAGTACAGAATCCATGACTTAAAATGGTAACAGTAACAACATACCAGGTACATATAATCAAAGTGAAACTCGTAAAAGAAGATTAGTCTTGACAACTTTCATTCCTAGAAATAAGATATTGTTAATAGTATGAAAACATTGCTTGGGCACAATATGCTATGCAGCAATCTTACCAAAGAAAAAGTTGTACACAGGTAATGTATTGCACACAACAGCCTCATGTCTGTAAATGCCCTGCAACTGTAGACTAAATGCACTGAATGTTACATTCCACTATTGCACCCCCAGTAGCTTTTAAACATTAAAAATAGAACAAAATTAAACCAGGTACCCTCTTGGCAGCGCGAAGTCCCACTACAGACAGAGCAATTTACAGATCCTCGAGCTGAAACACGGAATTGCTGGAATTGATCCGGCTCGATGCCACCTATACCGGTTTTCACCTCAAGAAAAAAGGAAGTTTTGCTCCATGTTCCTATGCCGCGCGAAGTAGTTCTCACAAAATTTGGTCGTCGGAGGAAGAAGCGATGCTTTTGGCGTTTGAAACGTGTACCTCTTGATAAGAGAACACATATCTAATCTAAAATACACCTACATATGTCTCAAATCTCAGCGTAACGAGGGAAATTAGTAATGCTCCGCGAGGAGCCAAACTTTTTTTACTATGGTTCTTGAGGTGAAAACGGGTATAGCAAGAACGGCGGGATTACTGGAAAAAATTGCCCCATCTGAAACAAGCCTAAGTTATCTAGTCCTGGCAGTCTTCGATAGCCTGCAGGATGTTTTTACGCATTCTTAACACCTTAGATGGATGAATAGATCGCATTGGATCGCACAACGATAGGGCAAAGTATTCATGCGCATCTGGCTTCTTCTGGCATGCAACACTAGAACTTATATTTTGGAGCTCCGTCAAGAGCGGGTCAGGATTGCTCTTTTTTTTTTTTGCGGCTCGTTCGTAGCGCCACTGGAAAAAGCTGGAGGGAATGGGCTTCCCACCCCCCCAGACTGGTGCTCCTCGTCCACTTCATACACTTCGACAATGCAAGCCTCCGGCTCCGGCCCATCCGCTGCTCCACTTTCGTCTAAATAGGCCCCCTCGTTCACCGGACGGATGAAGTCGTTATTACACGATGTGCCAGATGTCTTCGCGTTTCCTGACGTGCTGTTGATTAAGAAGAAAAAAAATTACTTTAATAAAACAAACAATCAGTGCCACACATCAGGGGCACAGCCAGGAATTTTCGGGTAGGGGAAGGCTAGGCCCACTAGTGCAGTGAACGATTGTGTGAAGCGCTTCGGCAGATTTCGCTGAGTTAGCATGAAAAATGGTCATAAGTCGCTGCACACTGCTAAAAATAGCCTAATTCTATTTCATTCTTTCTGTACCTTTCATCACACTGAGTATTAACCAGTAGAAAGTTCACATTGTGCAGGAAGCTTATGCTAGCCGAAATGTTCGATCGGCACAGCTACTACGCAGCTCCAAATCTACTCAGACCTTAGTGTATCAGAACGTTACTAAAAGCGCCGTAAAATTGCGTAATTATAATAATGATCATGTTTATTTGCCCTCGGATGCCGGTGACAGCAGAAAGACCGAAGGGCCATACCAGAGGCAAGCACACGTGGAATCTATGAGTGGCGATCTATTATTTGGGGACAGCGAAGCCTGGACGGCTATCAAATAATTTAATCAAAGAACACTATCGGAGAATTCGCAGTGCACGCATTACCTTCGATGCTGCAGGGTATCTCGCACGAAATACATCTGCTCGAAGTGCGGCCACGACATCGGGTCTTCGACGTCGTCGGCGCCGGCACCGCTCGTCCTGGTTTTCTTCATGTCGCGCAGCAAGCGCACCAGCTTGTCCCGGAGAGATCGCCAACGTTTCTGGACTTTGTCCACTAAAATAAAAAGAAGACTGAGATTGAGGTGGGCACTTTCGTTGGTGAAAGTTAGGACTTACCGCGATCCTTGTCTCCCGGCAGAAGGAGATCGCCGAGTTCACCCCAAATGGCCGATTTTTTTTTTTTTTTGTATCCTTATAATCCTTACATTCCGGCTGCCAGAGCGCAGGACGCTTTTCAACTTCACTAATTAGGCGTTCGTTGTTCACTGCCATTTTCGCAAGGCCGTGGCAAAAACTACAATAGTCCTACAGCGGTGAAAACTGAAGAAACTTCAAACGCTGCTTGCTACTAAACACGGCCGTTCATTGGTTGTTGCCTGCTGGACGCAGCGGGAGACGCGCCGCCTGGACGCAAAATATCTGGCTCCTCCACATACGCAGGAATGCGCCTAAAAACGCTGCGTTTCGTCCTTGCGCCGGAAGTGACGTCAAAGCGCAGGCGCAGACGCGACGCAGACGCGGGGAAAAACGCACCATGTGGGCTAGCCTTAACCGTTAGGCCACGCGCGCGCTGCCTGCTTGGCCAGCTGCGCGCGCGGCAATATGTCACTCCTGCTCCCTTGCATTTTTTTTGCCCTGTTAATACATAGAAACTACGTACTATCGGGTTCAAATGAAATGTGATCAGCAGAGCACGTGGCCGTCAGTACATGCTGCACCTCCTGGAGGCCTCTTGAAACTGATAAAGCTGCGGGTTGGAGAGTAGAGCACAGCAAGGATGTGTGTCCTACTCTGATGTGTTTGACCCTTGCCCAGCACAACCCAAGCTTTGACGCTGCGTCGGTGGTGCGTGGAAAGTTTCGTCACAGCCACTTTCGTTGGCTGTGTGCCAGAGGTGCGAAATAGACGTTAAAGCACTTCGTTCGTGCACAAAAGACCTATGGAGCTTGATTGACGTCAGTTATCAGAACCACACAGACGTCCTCATGAAGTACCTAGAGCACATGAGCACGCGACTTTTGCAAAATAGCGAAACAGCGTGAACAGGAAATGACATGTTTATTGCCAGAAAGCATTTGTGCAACCAGAAATAATGAACAAGGTAACACGAATGCTGCAACCGGCAAAGGCTGACACCTCAAGCAGCACCACAGCAGTAGCTGTCTGGGCCGGCTTGCTTTCGTCGTTATATATTTCCCTAAGCTGGTCTTAGTGAGAAGCCAATTAATATTTTGTGAAGCCACCTTTAGCGTCTGCAACAGCGGCCATCCATCAGCAGGAATACCTGGTCCGAAGCTTGCTGCCGCTCGCACTCGGCTTCAACCACCATAACAATGTGTATTGAGAACAGAAAAAAAAAATCACAAGTTAGGAGGGAGCATGTGTTGCAAAAACGCTCCACGAGCGCAGGCACGCAAGCAGCCTGTTCCTGTGCCGAGCGGCGAGCGTCCTCGCATGGCTCACGCCAAGCCAACAGAAGTGGCTGGAACGGAACTTCCAGCGCATTACCGGCGCAGCGTAGAAGCCTGGGTTGTGTTGGATGAGGGTCAAATACATCGGAGTAGGACGCACACTCGCAGTGCCCTACTCTCCAACCCACAGTTTAATCAGTTTCAGGAGGCCTCGAGGAGGCGCAGCATGTACTGACGGCCACGCGCTCCGCTGTTCACATTTTATTTGAACCCGATAGTACAACCAACTAGCCTACATTTCTATTGTTTTACTCCATCACTTTCATCACACACTAGGTTATTTTATTTCTTAATATTGCGGCTTTGTTACCCACAAGACTTTACCTGGGTTCATCGTTATATATTGGCGAGACATGGCAAGAGCACTAATGGTAGCAATGATAACAAGTTGCTAAAAGTGTTGACAGAATTATTCTAAGCATGACCGTTGCTATATGTTTATGCAATAGGCACATGTATCATAGTGCTGGCTCAAACAAAAGCTCCCGAGCATGAAATGACCTGCCTCTTCACACAGTGATATCTAGTAAATGGCAGAGTCCTATTTCGAGAAAATTCCTTGGTGAAAGTTTGTTTGCCATTTATGGCTTCATGCTTTTCGTAAAAAATACAAGTTTTTTAGTCCATATGTAAATGGAACTAGAAGTGTTTGTAACTAGAAGTGTTGTTGAACTGCAACATACATGGCCATTTCCAATTGTGTCTTGCAGGATGGTGTGGCGCAAGACAAGCTGTCTGGCAGCGTGCTCGTAGAGCTTGGCAGGATACCTGCAAATTAATACACAAGACATAAAAGTGTCAAGAAATTAAATGCATACCCTAATGGGACCGTGTTGTCAGGTATATCAATGCCAGGCCAGCCCGCACAAAGCATTTTGAATGTGCAATGCATTTTAACAGAAGCAAAGTAAGCATTTGTCTTGCATTTCTCTACTGCGCCATTGCCAACTAAATGTAAAAAGCTAATGACGTGCTAACTTCGTTGAAATGTTACACTGAGTCACGTGGATTCTATGTAGTGTACCACCAGTTCCAATGCTGTGGTTCTTTGCAAGAGGGAAGTCCCATCACAACTAGATATAAAAAAAGGCAAAATAGTGCTAATGTACAGCGCGCCCCAAACTTAACACCGCCACTCGAACGGCCGACTTTTGCGGAGCCGCGCTATCCTAGCGGCAGCCATTTCCACTAGTCGGTCACGTGAAGGCCATTCCCAATCTCCAGACAGGGGGAAGGGGAGGTAGCAGAGGTTGCGCTCAGGGCCCCTAACTCTGCTAATCACAAACTCATATCGTCAAAATCGCGTTTTTTTTTTTTGCACTTTGTTTGCATTTTAGCAGCGCCTTCAAGCTTTCTCCTTAACGATGCATTATCAAAATTTCTTTGCTGTCAATCTTAAAGGTGTAAACAAAACGCAAAACAAAACGCGAGTCTGACGATATGAGTTTGTGATTCGCAGAGTCAGGCGCCCTAGCGGCGGCCGTACTACCTCCCCTTCTCCCGATCCGTAGATTAGGAACGGCCTTCACGTGACAGACTAGTTGAAACGGCTGCCGCTAGGATAGCGCGGCTCCGCGAAAGTTGGCCGTTTGAGTGGCGGCGCTAAGTCTGGGGCGCACTGTACTTTCATTTGTGTCGTGGCCAGGGTGTATGAATGGGGAGTTTCAGAGTGCCAGCCAAATTACTCCTGCGAAAAGCATGCATCAGACAAAAACAAGTTGACGTCTTATTTGTTTCTGACAAGAGCCTGTTCAGGCAAATAAATAATGTTACGCATAAGTAGTTTATTCACTACTTTTGAGTAATTGAATTTATAAAAGAGTAATCTTTAAGGTATTGTTTCAATTAGAAACTTCATGGACGTCATTGAAAATGACTAAATCAACCTACTTCACAATAATATAAAGCATGGACAGCATTTCATGACATCCTGAAAAGGCACTATTTGGATGCATCATAAATTTTTGGCTTCCCATCAAAACGCATTTCCACGCCAGCACTCCTGGTACATGTGGCTAAAGCGTGCAATACCAGCTTGTCTCCCTCTTAAAAGAGAATGAAGTGTGACACACGCCGGTGAAATAGAACTCTGTGCAATTCAAATGGCATTGCAAGAATAAACCTTGTTTTTTGTGTTCCCCTCCGTCACATGGAGAATATGTGTCCATGCATTTTATTACACACTTTAGCGACGGGCAGTAAGAATACTGGTGCAAAGATGCAATTCTGATAAAAAACAAACCTAAAAGTACGACCATATTAGGTGCTTTTTCAGAATGCCAATACATCCTGCATGTGGCTTCTACATCTAAGGTTATTTAGTTATTACGTTTAGTTATTTTCGACAATGTTCACCAACTTTTAACAGATCATAGGTAAACAGGTAATCATTTATAAATGATTAATAAAATATTTATCACAAATGCTATTACTTTTCCTGCATAAGCCCTGTGACAGAAACCAATATGACACCAACTTTTTCTCGTGTGACCTATAGTTTTCGCAGAAAGAATTTGGCCGATGTTTCATGAGTCAAACAACTTTGAGCAGGATATACACCTTCGCAGTTTTGTCACTATCTAGGAGTATCCAGGTGGCATAGCATGTATTGAAAGCGAGCACTCCCTCATTTCATTTCATTCAGGTTTAACGTATATAAAATTGCCACGACACACTTATACCTTGAATTAATAAAAAAATTGAATATATAGACCTTGAATTACCAAGAATCGATCATAAGAAACAGTGTGCATGTCCTTTGCAATGAAGTCTGAGAGAGGTTTATGACAGCCAACCTTATACACAGCTATTCATCACTTACAGGCCAAAACAAGTTTGATGCCTTTACAATCATTGCATTATGTAGTTTTGTTTTTCCTTCTGATGTTCCAGATAATTTCAACAAAAATGGTGCAAGGGGACAAGTACAGCAGGGAATGCCCTAATTTACATAATAGTATGCACAGCACTACGTGTCACATTGCAGAACCAGAGGCATACTCACAGTGTGTATCGAAACAAATCAAAACACATCCATTCTGTGATGCGACGCCGGAGTTTCGCAGACACCCCAGACTTCGGCTGCACTTTCGACAAGTTGTGTAGTATATCTTTAGGCGTCGGAGGAAAAACATAGTTCCTTGGATCGAGCATAGAGCTCGAACTCTCCTGCACCACTGGTGGCGGTTCAGGCCTGAAAATGGGCAGAAAAACATAAAACCGATACACCTATAAAACCACCAGCAGCATGAACTTTAGACAGCATCTTGGCACAGTGCACTTCTGCAATACCTTAAAACACTTGTAAAAGCTATGATCATTCAATCTTACACTTCTGATGTACTGGCCACAGGAGGTGGGGTTTGTTCATGAGGTGTCAGCTGGGAGGCTTTGATTTTTGAGCCTGCCGCCAGTCTTGTCTCCTTATCCCAATCCAGAAACTCTCCAAGTTCTGCATCAAGGACCTGTAGAGGCACCAAGTAGCTTGAATTTTAAACAAAAACCAAGGGCAACAGATGTTTTCTGGAAAGAATGTGTTTGGAGCACCAAGAATGTGTTCGGGCGAGTATGCCACATGCGTCGCCGACCCCTCAACGGACTCAACCAACTCAAGTGCCGAGTTTTGAGAACAATGTTCAAGAGAGAGTGCAAAAGTGACGAAACGTGAGCCGTCGTGTGCCGTTTCCTTCACTGGCGGCCGAAGTTTCGTTTCGTACAGACGTGGAAAGCATGCAGTGTGTGAAAAAACAAACAGCGGTTCATGACTCCTGACTAACAATCTTTGCGCTTGTATGATGCAACTTTCCTTTACATGCATCTGCTGGCGTAAAAAACCGACAAAAAGCGAGCACTACAAACTGGAAACGAGTCACCTCAGCTTCCAGTGCATTCTACCACCAGCGAGGAGGACTGCTTTGACGTCATGTGCAAGCCATGTATGCCAGACTAAACTACCCTATTGTAGGTCTGCTACATATAGAATAATAATTTCACATGAGAGTATTCACTGATCTCTATGACAATTGCTGGATCACGCTTCCCCGCTTGGTTGCTGCAGCGCAAGTGAAGCTACCGGTCATCTTGCTCATAGGCAAATTTCAGTTTTGCTAGCGCTGCAGAGGGTGGCGGCAGCATGCTGAAGACACGTTTTCTACTCGTTCGTCGTCATTTGCCGAGAAAGTATTTTAAGACCCTGTGTAATGGCGCATTCACACTGGAAGCGGATCCGCGTTCGCAAAGCGGTTGCGGTTCGCGAGCGACCCCGTTCAGACACACCAAGAGGCGGTTGGCGGTTTCTCGGCGATCACGCGTGATCTTTTGAGACTCGCGTTTGGCAACCCTGTTTTACAATCCAAAATCCACTTTAATCGAAACTCCAAAGCCAAAATTTTGCCATTTTGGCACTCTGAAGATTTTTCTCCGGGACGTTCCACGCATCACGAGGTTAGGCAGCAAAAAAAAAAAAAGAGGCATGGACCCGCCAAACTCGCCTGTGATTCCGTCGACGTCGCCCAGAAGCAAAGCCCAGCTAGGCGCGCCTTGCTGACTCAAAACAGGATGCCCCGCGCGCCCTCTTTTTTTTCGAAGTGAACCCTTCCCGCATGAATAGCTGACAGGATTGCCAGGTTGGACTATTAATAGCCAAATTGGACTACTTTGTCATGCATTTGGCGTCAAAATTTGGCAGTTGGCTTTGTGGCTATTTTTGGGCTATTTCAAATCCTAACGCGGCACTTTTTTATTCTTTATTTTTTGCTTGGTTTAGAGTAGATGTGCAAAAAACACTTCAGCATGGACACAATGTGACAGTCCACCTCTTCTGGATTCCCGCTTTCAGGAATTTTCTGCATGAAGATTCGTGGGCGTGATGCCACAACCTGTCAGCTCAAGTGAGCTACCGTGACCTAGATTCAGCTCCCACGACATAGCTTTCGTATTAATTGTGGCTTATTTTATGCTCCCAAGTTCTTTCAGCTTCCTACTGGCGTCTTCTATTTCCTTGAGTTTCCCAGCCTCCTCCTACACGAGGCACCTCATCCGAGGAAAAATGATACTAAGGGCAGTTCAAAACACCCTGCAGAATTGAATGTCGCCCGATAACGCGTGCTCTACCGAATATAACAAAGAAGGCTTTTCCGTGAAACATGGAAGTTTTTTAAAGCACATTGAGCCATAAGAAAAGACAAAAGATTTGGGACAATGAATATTCCGACCAAGGCCAAGATCGATGCGCACGAGCGGCCCTGTTTCCGCCGCTATCCGAGCTTGCCATCACGCCCCCGACACTGCCCATGTCGAAAGCCGCCGTGGAGAGTATTCAGTGACGTCTCCCTCACAAAGTCAGGCCTAAGAAAGAATATGTCCCTTCCAACCCTTCAAAACGTCATCTATGTAATGTTTGCTTCCCTTGGGCAGAACGAGTGCTGTAACGACATCAACCGTACTAATGACGTTTTTGCCCGTTTTAACACGGAAATCATGCACGAGGCGAGTAAGCCAGGCACGACCGAGTGCTTCATAGCTATGTGACTGTAAAAACGCGTGTGGAAAATTTTTGAATTTTTGAGCTTGAAATAAAACTTTCAATCCATGTCAAGATTTTCTAGATCTTGCAAGCTGTTCCTAAACCCTAGATATGCAGACTAAGCACCTTCTAATTGAACTCGCAAATTCGAGCGCACAATATTTTTGGCTCTGTAGAATATGGCTACTTTTGGTCTACATAAATCTCTTGGATTTGGCTACTTTTGGGCTACACAGTCTGGCATTGTGGCGGTTTGAGCTAGAAACTACCTGGCAACCCTGATAGCTGACATTGTTTTCCCGGATAGAGGGCCAGTTTTCCCCCCTTGTTCGCTCATATCATTTTCGACGTTGTGAGCGGTGGAGTGAAACGTGGTGCGGGGGAATGTGTTCGGTGCTAGCCGGTCGTGGCTAGCACCGAACACTTGTTGGTGGTCGACTCCTCTCGTCACTCGCATGTCGATCGAGTCTACTGTTTGTTTGACATTAAGCTCAAATAAACGCCATATGGATTACCTCTGCATCGTCTGGTATGTACACTTTATTCGTTGAGTATGTTTCCTTTATTTCCTTTTGTTAGTGGTAAACCTTACAGGTCAAGCTAGCGCAGGTACCCTGCCCGCTCCGCGGTAGTGCGTTGGCTACGTAATCAGGCTCACGACGTTTCTATCGGCCTTCGTTTTGGTCATTCACGGTGTCGAAAGCTTTCAATAGTTCACGCTGCTGTCGTGGGTAGAAAAGCTGACGTTTCGGTCGATCAGTGGCGGGTTCCGACGTCATACGGACAAGGACTAAACAAGGCAGGGAGCTTCAGGCTGTGGCACTAGGAATAATAACCAAATTCTTACCCGAACCAAATCACCGGTGCGAAGCCCGTTAAAAATACGAGTCAATTCTTTTCGCGGCGGATTCAAGTGACGGACGTGAACATTAAGTTCACGTCCGTCATTGTCTCCGTTGATTTGTCTGCTGTAACGCTAGGACTACAGCGCCTTGAACACCTCATTAGCGACAGCTGCCATCTTGTTTCGAAAGTCACTGACGAAAGTCAGCGTTGTGTTGTGATTGGTTGCCGCTTTGCGGTTCGTGAAAGCGGTTGGGAGAAATCTGTCCTGAAGCGGTTGGCAAAAATGCTCTCCAACAGCTCGATCCTAGCCGCTTTGCGGTTGAGAACGCGCGGATCCGCTTCTCGCTTGCGGATCCGCTTCCAGTGTGAACGCGCCATAAGCGTTGAGACTTGCCGTTGAGAACAAATGGAAATTTTTATGAAAGCACTGTGCCGCAGAAAAAAGAAAAAAATCGTTGAAAGCAAGTTTCGCTGGTCTTGCGGCGTCATCAAAGCTTCCTTGGCACGCAGAAGTGCTGCGTCTCTGTGCCTTCGCATGCTTGCATACCGATGAAGATTCAACGCCGTGTGGATGTGTTTTGCGAGTGCAATGTGCGTGAAGCCGTATGTGCCAATGAAGCAGCGTTTTATACTTTACTCTGACGACTGTATTTGTAACTTGCGGCACTCGCAGTCCAGAAAAGAGCCTGATCCAGCGTCCAGTGGCGACGGAAGAGGGCGGGGAAAGGTACGGCTTTTTTAAGTTGTTAGACGGTTTACAGAATACCGCGCACACAGCTCCTCATCACTTACCAGTAGTCTGGCTCATTATCAATAATCGCACGTGACATCAAGTTTCAGCGCAGCTCGCCTAATTGTGATTGGTCAACCGATTGCACATGACCATATGGGCCACACATCAGATTTTCAATCTCGCCGTCTTGTACTTTTGCCTTCAAAGACCTCCACAGCGTTTCTCTATTTGTGCTGCCATGTGATCAATTAGAGTAGATTTAGAACATATCCATGGTTAATAGTGCATAAGAGCAACCGTACAGATTGCTTGCCCCCCCTTATTGATAAGAAATTGCCGGAACAGGTGGACGACACTTTTTCAAAACTTTGCCAATGCAGCTATTCTTGATCGGTATCCAAGCGTGTGAACGCAGAGACGCAGCATTTCGGCGTGCCAAGAAAGCTTTGATCATGCAGCGACACCGGCGAAACTTGCTTTCTACAAGTTCAGCTTTTTTCCTGCAGCACTGCGCTTTCGTCAAATTTCCCCGTGTCTTCAACGGCAAGTCTCAGTGCTTACACAGGGTCTTAAAAAACTTCTTCGGTGAATGACGATGAACGAGTAGAAAACGTGTCTTCAGCACGCTGCCGGCAGCCTGTGCAACGCTAGCAAAACCGCAAATTGTCTGCGAGCAAGATAGGCCTCACTTGCGGGAGCGGGAAGCGCGATCCAGCAATTGTCATAGGGATCAGTGGGAGTATTGGTCACATGTGCAAAGCACATGCACCCTCTTTGTAATCTTAACACTTTTTTTTGTGGGCGATGATGATTACGGCTTGCGGCTACTCGAACTGGATTGGAATCGATTGATTTGTAACAAGCTTAAGTTGATTGAACCTTTTTTTATCCTAGTCGTAAATGCAAGTACGAGAAAGCGCGACTCGCAAGCGTGGAGCGGATGTGTTCGACGGTCCAGTGGCCATTCACCCACTATGTCCGACGTATCTTTAGACTTTGGGATCGCAATACGTCCAACTATCTTTAGACTCCAAATTCCGGGTACGTCAGACATATCTTTAGACTCTGGGATTGGGATACATCCGACGTATCTTTAGACAGCGTTTAACGGAATCTTCCATTGGCGACGTCGTGCTCAAGACCGATTTCTTAGCTGGCACTGGGCAAATCAGTGAATAAGAGGGCATAAGCATGTCACCATTTTCCAGTTGGTGTTTGTTTGCAAGGCCTTTTTGCACTTTTTAGAATGCACCAGCTTTAGCTAGGATAGCAGTCAGGCGGTGGGGCTGGTGAAGCATCAAATGAGCGTGGAAGCGTTCCGCTGCTGCTGTAGGAAGCAAGGTTGATTGAAAAACCGCTCG